TTTAGATTCGTTTGAGTAAAAAGAGGCGTCAGGGCGATGGGGCTTATGATATCATCATTTTATTATGACTCGATCTAAGTCAAGTCTCACAAAAAAGGAACGTGTATGGAAATGCAATCAGTTATTATGCACATGGTTATTTTTCTTTTTTTATCTTTCAATCTATGAGGTCACATGCCATAGATTCTTCTTTTCTTCTTGTACATTCGGACTATTCCAGTACATTTTTTCCTTCTATTCATTCTTCTCTCCTTTTCATTGAATTTATTCTGGGATATTCCAGAATGTTGTTTTTTTCTAAGCCAAATATATATATACCGATCCTTTCCTTCAGTAATTTAGTTTTGAATTGGTTTTTTTCTTTAACTCATCCAATATCTCAAGGCTATAGATACACACTGAACATACTCAACAGTAAATTGAAACTTGATATATTGGTTTGTGACAATGGCAACACGGCGAAGTCGATTTTCGGATGAAGAAGCTGATGAAATTTCAGAAAACTCTGGATCAGAATTTGAAGCTGAAACAGATTCAACATACTACAGCAGTGGCGCTGACAGTGATTTTGATGAAACTTCTTCGCAATCATCATCTCGTTCAACTCATGATGAGTCTTGGCGAATAGGAAACTTTCGTCGAAACAAACGGACATTTATGTTCACTAACAGCGGCTGTACGTCAATAGTTCTACATAAATTGAAAGGCGATGCTTCTATGGATTTTTTTAATTTGTTCTTTGATGAAAACTTGATGGGTACGATCGTTGATCAAACAAATTTGTATTATTATCAAACTGGAAAAGCATCATCGAAAGTCGCAAAGACACCTTCGTGGTTTGATACAACAATCGACGAGATGTATGTGTTTTTGGCTACAACAATGCTGATGTCTTTCACGAAAAAGAATAAACTACTATCCTACTGGTCAACTGATAGATTGATCATGACACCTATTTTCAACGAATTATTCCCACGTCATCGGTACTTCGCCATATTACAATATCTACACTTCAATAACAATACAGAACAACCAGATGATGATCGACTATATAAAGTAAATTCCGTTTTGCGCAACTTGAATGAAAAGTTTTCGAACAGCTTTTATCCGTATCAAAACATTTGTATCAATGAAGGTATGATAGCTTTCAAAGGCCGTCTAAAATTCAAGCAATATATTCCTTTGAAAGGAAATCGATTTGGAATCAAGCTATTTCTCATATGTGACTGTTCGACTGGATTTATCCTAAATTTCATAGTTTATACTGGAAGTGCTTCTGAACGAGTTAGAACCTCAGAACTTGATATTCCTGGCTCAATAGTTATGTTACTACTAGAAAAATATCTTGACAAAGGTCCTATTATTTACGTTGATAACTGGTACTCAAGTCCAAAGCTGTTCCAAGTTTTGTATGAACGCTCGACTGGTGCCTGTGGTACAATCCGAAAGAATCGTTCTGGTTTTCCAGTATTTCAAGAGGAATTGCAGCAAGGAGAACAGTCTGTACTACACACAGCCAACATGTTAGCTTTGAAATGGCATGATAAAAGGGATGTATACATGTTGTCCAGTGTTCATGATCCTTCAATGGTATCAACAGGCAAAAGAAACGCCCTTACTGGTGAAGAGATACTGAAACCATTATGTGTAAAGGAATATAATCAAAACAAAGGTGCTGTGGATAAATGATGTATGCAAATGATATTTTCGGAATCTCTGCGGAAAAGTGTAAAATGGTACAAGAAACTCTTTTTCTATATGATGGATGTATCGATTCTCAACGCTTATATCTTATTGAAAAAGATACGACAACAACATCTTCAGCTCTCCGAATTCAAACTTGAGGTGATTCGAGAATTGGTGACGAAGTACGATTCCAACAGAGCACATGTTGGAAGAACATTGACCGCTCATCCGTTACGATTGACGGCAAGACATTTTCCTTCTCTAATTCCTCCAAACGAAAGCAGTGCGACTCCTCGAAGAAGATGTTATGTTTGTGGCAACACTGAACAGAGTGCAAAGCAACGAAGCGATACGCGCTATCAGTGCCTCGAATGCAACGTTGGGCTGTGTATTACCGACCGTTTCAAAGATTTTCATACTTTAAAAAAGATTTAACTTTATGTCTGTAAAATTCTCTTAATCTAGATCAGGAATTAAAAGTTTTAAAAGCTTTTGAAAGAATATTTTCTGCTTTCTTAAATCGGTAACCAAAGGGTTAGTGGTGGTCAAAAATTATTAAATTACAAAATTTTAAAGTTTTAAATTTAAATTTTTACGTTGAAGTTTTAATTTTTATAAAAAATAATTGATTTTCGTGGTCAGCATGAAAAACTGCATCTAAAGTGACGTGCCTTTCCATTTAATTAGATAAAAATTTGTTTTTGAACAGTCAATAGTCCCAGTTCTCAACAGTTGCACTTAACTGTACCGGGCATACCTAGTACACACCTTTTTTAGTGTTGCATATCCGTAAGGCTTTTGCCTCAGTTTTCCTTCAACAAATTTTTAAGAAGGGAGCGGTCGGTTGTTCCCCCCCATTTAGATTTTTTTTAAGATTTCCCAGTTTGTAGAGGACACTTTGAAGTATATGTTCTGAAGTTTTTACGGCTTGCTGACATTATTTGTCTATGAAAAAAATTAATTACTAAAAAAATGGTGCTAAAGTTTTGAGCACAGGGCTACTATTGCAGAATTTCCTGGTCGTTTCTCTTTTATCATAAAAATTTGGTTCTCATCTAGATCGATAGAGAAATGTGCGAAGAAT